CGGTTAGATCAACCGAAAGAGTTACACATGAAAAGGGCGATTAGAAAAGACTTGTACTTTTCAACACAGCGAGAAGAGCACACCGTGCATACGCAAACCAATCAAACAGAAATCTGTGCGCAACTCGATGCTCCTCAGAATTATTATGAAGTGCTTTTGAGTCTTACTCCAGAATTTTCTTTCTTTCTGGTGGCATTTTGCATTTTATGCTTTTCACAATGACCCACCTTGGTTTGCTTCCAGGCAAATTTGAGGGAGACTATGAGGCTAAGGAAGCTTTGACAGCACATTAATTAATAACTTCAGCAAGATTTCCGGCAAAAAAGTATTATTTTCCGCTTTAATATATCCGTCGCGAAGAAAAAAGCCGATGACGCGTATATGGGTTTTTCGAAAAACGTGAAATTACATGTTAGAACTGGCAAGTATCAACGGGAACAAGAAGTACAAAAAATTACAGCAGTAGTGCTACGCCCGAAATATAACAGCATCTCGATAACATCACGGGTTTTTCCATACGCTGAGAGCCCAGGCTACCCCAATTATTTCAACGACCTCGTTCAGCTACTTCAAAGAACATATTTCTTGATTTTAATAACAGATTAAAAAAACAGCCAACGAAAATTCAAAAAAGTACCCAGCTAATTCCACGTTTTTTCCGCTAAGCTTTTCTTTCGATCGCTCATGCAGGCAAGCAAGTTCACGTGGTGTTGGCGCAAAATTCACCCTAATTCTGAAAACATAATATTATAAGCTTTTAAAAATTACAAAAATCAATATTATAGATTTGTGTAGGACGATTTCTCCAAAAATTTGTTTTTATAATTTTTACTTAAATTGTGAAGGTTTTTTTAAGAGAAAAAGATAATTTTTTTTCACAAAGTCAAATCATAAACATTTCAAAGTATGAAAAGGCAAAAGCTAAAATACATAAAGACAAGCTGGCTGTGATACAACGAAAAGTCAAGAAAAAACTCCTTATTTTTACTTCCTTATTTCATCACTTATTTTCTAGTATTTTCGCTATTATGAAAAAAAGACGTACGCTTTGATGGTGAAGTCGGTGAATAGTGTAATGATCGGGATGAGCAAAAATGCAAACCAAAAAGAGGGAGAGGTAAACATAATATAAGCCATGCCGGACATATGCTCGCCCAGTGGCAAAATTGGCCAAATCTGCAACGATTTGTGCACTGCTTCTTGCAAAAATGTAAAAAAAAACTGCCAATATGAACAAAAATAAAAAAAATAATGGAGTTCTGGAAGTTACATAAGGTTCAATTTGTGGTGAGAAGTGAGGAACAAATCGCAAATCGAAAATACCATCCTCGTAAAGCACTGGCATCTGGTGGAAATAAGCCTATTTTTGATCCTAGAAAAAGGAGGAATGCCGGCAGCATGAACTTATTCGCTCACCCACAAACAAAGGAACATTAAAACCGACCCAGCCGGTGCATAAAAATTTACAGATGAAATGAAGAAATACAGAAGTAACAAAT